ATAATTAATATACTTCCAATAAATTTATGTATTTGGAGGTAATTCTTTTTTTTTGGTCGGCAATATGTTTTTAATGTTGACTTTGGATATGAACCGTGATATGTTTGTTTGTGCAATACATTAATAGTATGATATTAAAATTTAGTCAACTCATATACTACTAATTTAAAGTCGGGTATATTCAATTTCGTTTTGCATATAGTCCGTGTATAGTCGAGTTTTTGTAACCGAGTTTGTGTTGAGTTATTTATGAAACGTCCGGCTATGATCCAAATTTTTTAAGACTAAACTCATTTTTCAACTTCTATTTTTTGTTGAATTAAAAACCCAAGATTAAAATTTTCAACTAACAGAGGTGGGTTTTTGCGTTACCACTATGGCCACACATAACATTAATCCAACCCTGACTGTCAGATCTGCAAAGCACAATTGCTGTAGCTCGAACTATTAACTAAGTTATCCTAAGGTCAATATTTGTCATCCAAAGAAGTCAAGACTGGGATTCCTAGTCTATGAACAAAATCCACCACTCGGACACCCATGACCGTTGAGTCAAAAAAAAAACTTCCACTGCCGATGAGTCTCTCTTAAATGGAAAATACACACCAAATCAAAGATTAAAAAAACAATTATTTTCTTCGTATAATACTAGTTAAGAAGCTTTTTGTGATCTGAGTTTTTGCGGTGTGTGGAATCAAAACAATTGTGACTATTTTGGGAAAGAAAATAAAAGTCAAAGGATATACATTTGAATTTTTCATGTTCTTTTATTGGCTAAACAGAGCATCTATACATATGATACTTGTTGTGGGTGTCTTGTATTCCATTCTTAATAGGACACTGATTTTGACTTTGTTCTCCTTAGAATTTGTTAGGTTGAATGTCTTAGAATTTCATTTTAAGTAGAAGACCAATTAAAAACCCTATTATATTAGGAGGCAGTATTGAGCCTACAAAAAAATATTATAGACCGTCAATTTTATTTAATCTCCCTTTATTGATAAAAAAAACTTTGTTGATGCACTTCACCCGTAAATGTAAGCTTTCGAGCCTATCCACATAAATTTATGTTGTATGTTTCTCTATTTCATTCTTTTTGGTTGTTTGTAGCCTTTATTAATAACAATATTCCACTACTATGTATGGCCAAACATGAAACTCCAAGAAAAGCATGAGTGAAGTAGAGTAAAACATTGAAACTAAGAATTGGTGGGGTGCGCCAGGCCAAGGCAATAGTGCAACACCAAGGCAACACTTGAGAGCCCCAATAGCAAGCAATTGTTGCGGACTCTCCCCTTAAAAAAATTACTTTANCGCCAGGCCAAGGCAATAGTGCAACACCAAGGCAACACTTGAGAGCCCCAATAGCAAGCAATTGTTGCGGACTCTCCCCTTAAAAAAATTACTTTAATGTCGTGTGAGTCATTAACCCACGGATCAGATATTAAACTAATAAAAACAGATATTATACTTAATCTTAGCCAAAAGATCGGGAAATGTATGATTTGTAATGTGTATCTTTTCCTACTTTATACCCACTATGGCTTTGTGCTTTCTTTTAGATTTGCGATGTGGGATTAGAGGTGGGATGTTTATTCAACTAACTGTTATGCCATGATCCCTAAAGAAAAGTAGCCTAAAGGAAAGAAGTCTTAATCTATTCCAAAGGAAGAATAAGATTCACTGCTTGCTAATAGCTTTTCATGTCCTTTCTTCTAAATTTAAAAGGTTTAAAATGAATGGACTTCACACAGACAGAGAAGTCTGTCTCATAAATGATTCTAAGCCTTTACCTCCATCAGTGTGAATNTTTAAAATGAATGGACTTCACACAGACAGAGAAGTCTGTCTCATAAATGATTCTAAGCCTTTACCTCCATCAGTGTGAATAATTCCTAGTGCACCTTTGTAACCAGACTGTTTCATTGCTGTTTGATCAGAATCGAAAATGCAGTGCAACAAGAGACACCATTTAGGATCATAGATTGGGTGCATCTTGGGCAAGTTGGACGGATTGAGAGAACTCAAATTAAACGTGAATTCAAGTCGAATCTAAACTCAACCCAAATCTTTCAACTCGAGTATTGTCGGTGCTTAAATTGTTGACTCGGGATAGATTCAGATTGTACAATCCAAAATGAAATTCTAATTAAATAATGATTCAGAGTTTAGGTTCAATTTTTAGGTTGAAATCGGGTTTGATTATAGAGTTACACAACTTGGACTAAAAGTTGGGTTCAACCTGTATTAACTTACTCAAGTTTGAGTCCTTAAAATCCCGAAGTCCAACACAAGTGCTACACGAACCTAAATTATATTGGGATTTCTTGGCCTAAGGCCAACTCGAACATTGAAAACTCTCTATTGAAGTAGTGAATTTTTTGAGTTCTCTAGTTAAGTTTGAATTGACCCGTCAAAGTAACACTTCTAATAGAACACTTCTAATACTATGGGCCCTACTAATTGGAAGAAAAAAAAATCTTTTTTTAAGGTAGCCAAAATAATAAGCTGAACTAACTAAAGTAAATACTCCATCGAAAAGAGCATAATTCACATGCAAGAATTTAGGCCGGAAGATTGAAACTGCTGGCATTTTTAGAGCAGGAAACAACATTACTGTTTTTCCCAAAAAAGGCTTGTTATAGGAGCATGGTTCAATAAACACAAACATATTTATTTATTTATTTTATTATTTGTGTCATGGGTTGGACCATGGAGGGGGTCATGGGTCTGGCCACAGGCCGTGGAGCTGTTCATGGGTCATAGATCGGGTCGTGGGTTGGCGTGTGTGCTTTTAGTGTACTAATATGTGTTTATTTTTTGATATATTAGTATATATATTTGATTTTATTACATGTATTATTTAATAAAATGATAAATATTTAACTCAATGGATACTAATTTGTAATTCATATTTACCCGCTTAATTAAAATGAATCATATTATCCAACCCATTTGAAATCTGTATTAATTAATATAAATATTCAACTCATTTATTTATGAGTCGATTGGACAGGCTAATGGATAAGGGATTAAAATTGTCACCTCTACTCTCAAGGAAAACAGGAATGACGTAAGGTAAAACAATTAGGATAAAATCGTAATTGATAGTTGCACTTTGCTCTTAGAACTTTCAATTGTTCTAATTTAGTCCATAAACTATCAATTTTATCCCAATTAAGTCTTTCCATCCAATTTCACTATTAGATTAACACTAAAATGAATCAAACTTGACTAATCTTCAATTATCTAACAATAACAATTAATGAAAGAATTTAATTAAGACTAAATTAATAATTAAAAAACTATATGAATAAATAAAATTAAAATTAAAATAATTAAAAATTCAAAGGCCAAATTAAAACCAAGGCAAAGAATAAAAATCAATCACAATTTTTACCCAAACATTGAAACTAAGAATTGGTGGGGTGTGCCAGGCCAAGGCAACGGTGTAACACCAAGGCGACACTTGAGAGCCCCAATAGCAAGCTATTGTTGCAGGCTCTTCCCCTAAAAAAATTAATTTAATATCATGTGAGTCATTGACCCATGTATCAGATATTAAACTGATAAGAACAGATACTACACTTGATCTTAGCCAAAAGGCCGAGAAAGATATGAATTGTAATGCATGTTGTTTACAACTTTATACCTACTATGGTTTGTCCTTTCTTTTAGTTTGGCGATGTGGGACAAAGATAAAAGTGAATATGAAGGTGACAAAGATAAAAGGTGGTCACATTCAAATCAGCCCTAAGCTTTTAACTCTCTCAACTTAACTCTCTCAAACTCTGAAAAACTTAGTTTACGATGCCAAAACAGGATTTAAGATCTAACATCAAACTGAGTGGTCTGCTGGATATTTATGGATTTTTTTTACACAAAAAAAAGAAAAAAAAAGTGGTGTCCAAGCATGGCATGACAAAATTAAAACATCAAATTAGATGAATTTTTTTCCTAGAAGAAAATGAAATTCGAACAACCGTCCAACAACTAATAGCCTATCATTTTGGAATTTTCACTTATAAAGAACTCAATCGATAAAACCATTACAAAACACTAGGATGAATTATCCAATGTTGGTCATTTAAAGAACCTGATCCATTAAAAAACAGTAGGATGAATTATATAAAAACTTTGTCAGATCTCCTGGACATTGAGGAGAAAAAGAAAAATAGAAGAAAAAAGGGCTATTGGGATGGCACACAACATGAAAAACATGTATGACATGCTAACTTAATTTGTTAATGGATATGGTAAATTACCCTCGAACCTCCTTAATTTTATCAAAATAATGTAGTAACCCTCTAATATTTCTAAACTAGCATGATGACCTCAATTGGAGAATTTTTTTTTTTTNAGGACCCCAATTGGAGAATTTTTTTTTTTTTTTTGGTTCAAAGGTCAAAGGTATCCATCCTACCTTTTGCGCACCTTGATTAATCCCCTCCCCGGTTTGGTCAAAAGCAAATTATCCATGTCAGGACTAGAGTATTCATAAGGGATAAATCCCTCAGGGTTTGGTCTCAAATAATTGTCAAAATTCGAACTCAGAACATCTTAGTATACAGCTCGTCCCTATTACCACTTGAACTACTCTCGGGATTAAAAGGGGATTTCCATTTATCAACACTAATGACCTAATTGTCTTAGAAATATGACAAATATGTCATAAGTGATCGTTTCCATTTTTTGTTTCCTTATGTTGATGCAGTTTTACTTATAAATGTGGAATGCTCAGCCTTGGAAATTAGGACAGTTTCAAGTAGAACCTTAAACTATTCAAAGGGTTTATTAATGCAGCAGTTACTTTATCAGTTCTAACTGCCTATGCACTTGAAGACAATTTATGACCCTTGCTTGTTTCCAAGTTCTTTAACAAACATATATAAGAGAGGCATAGAGCTTAGTTCCTATTATCCTCTAACAAACTCAAAATTTTTTGTATATATAGAATACAAATGGACTTACATCTATTGAGCTTCTTTGTGTTAATCTTCATGGGAGTAGCTTCTGCAAGCAAACAGAAAGGTCCAAGGTTCGATGAGAATTATAGGGTTTCATGGGGGCAGGATCATGTCAAGTCCTCAATACAGGGCAGAGAAGTTCAGATCTCCCTCGACAAAGATACCGGTAATTTTTCTATTAGATTTCATTCCTGTATTATGTGGTACGTGTGAATGTAATAACATGACGGATTTTTTCGGTACTTTTCAGAATTCCCGACTAATTCATCTAGAAATATGCAATCCTCCATCCCACATATGCAATNCATGTATTATGTGGTACGTGTGAATGTAATAACATGACGGATTTTTTCGGTACTTTTTAGAATTCCCGACTAATTCATCTAGAAATATGCAATCCTCCATCCCACATATGCAATAATTAGGATAAATATGTGGAATTAGCTTAAGAAATCTTTTTTAAATTGCTTAAAGAACCAAATAGAGTAAAACGAAACCATTGGTAATGCACTTTCTTACTTTTTACGAGAGTAAATTATACTTTAAACCTCTAAATTATGGACTGGATTTCACTTTTACCCCACCCTTTTTTGGTCTGCACTTTGTCCCTTGAACTATTAAATTTTTCTTATTGTCCCCTCAACTACTTTGATTATTTCACATTTTCTAAATCGCAAAAGTTCATTATCTTTTTGAATAAAAATTGTTGACTTATCAAAAAAAAAGTAAAATAAATTACATAGTTCGAGGAGACAAAATAAAATAATTTTCTGTTAAATATGTAACGAACATGAATAATTGGGGTAATATGATACTAATCACATAGTTGAAGGTGCAGTGTAAAAAATGTGATAGCTACGGGGACAAAATAAAAAAAATGTCATAGTTGAAGGGATCAAAATGTAATTTTACCTTGAGAACACACCTGGGTCGTTACAATGAAGGACTATAGGCTGGTGTTGTAATTGAACAAGCCTAAGTTAATATAGTTTTCAAGGGGCTCATTTGTCTCTTGTAGTGGTTTTTCCTCCTCTAGCCACTCAAGATGTGAGAGGAATATTTTGTACTCTTATGAGTCTTAGATTAGGTACTTTTGAGGTCTTTTCTATCGAGTTGTTATGTAGTCCCTTAAGCGTGTTTTGAACTATATTGTATATCTTCTCTTTCAAAACTAAAATTTTCGGGAAAAAGGATTATATTACTGATTACAGATGATAAACAGGATCAGGGATTCAATCAAAATCAAGTTATGGCTCCGGGTTCTTCCACATGAGAATAAAGCTACCAGGCAATGACTCTGCAGGAGTTGTAACAACCTTCTATGTAAGACAAGATGTGTCCCAAGAGTAAAATACTCAATCGATAAGATATCTCCAACAAATTGTAACCTACCAATTACTAGCATTAGTGAACCGTTACATTCGATATTTAACACTGTAGATTAAGTGTCCTAATTGATAGGTTATGATGGGTTTGTGATGCCATGGTATGAATAATGATGTAGTATAACCATTTCGTTGAATATTTTCTAGGGTATGAGGAAGGGTTAAACAGGCCACAAATTTTTAGATTCAGGCAGCCGTGCAATTAACCATATAACTTGCTATATTTTTGGCAGTTGACATCTCACACAGGTAACCACAATGAGTTGGACTTTGAATTCTTGGGCAACAGACAAGGAAAGCCATACTTGGTTCAGACCAATGTGTTTGTGAATGGTAAAGGAGACAGAGAGCAGAGGGTTCGTCTATGGTTTGATCCCACAGCAGCCTTTCATGGCTACTCAATCCTCTGGAACCAACATCAAGTAGTGTAAGACTATCAATTTCTGCCCACGCATGCACTACAGTTTCTATAGATATCATGGGTTGCAGCCTAAAAGTAAATGCTTATATCATGTGATATAGGCGTACAATAATATAACTTGTACTTTAATTATTATGATTTTTGTTTTTAATTTTTTTTTGTAAAATCACATAAATTAATTGTAATGGGTGAGGGTGGAGGTGAAGGCGGGGATGGGTGCGACGGGGATCAAAATTTAACCACAGGGTGGTGATAGAGATTAAAACTTACCCTGCTACTAGGGGTGGACGAACTTTATTTAAGCAAATATGGGGGGGGGGGAGACCACTTCCCCCACCCCTGTCCCGGTCCACTGTCATTCCTAGATAGAATGAGTAGATGTGTAACTCAGAAGATTTGATGGATTGAGAGATTGATCCGGGATCCACCCAAGTTACAAAACTATTAAAGTCCAAATATTGTCCAACGTTTAATGAACTCAGGTTGAGATTCCAATTCAAATCTAGACTTCAATTTTCAGACTGAAACTTGGGTTCCATTCTATGGTTACCTAACTTGGACTGAAATTTAAGTTCAATTCAGATTTAATTCGAGTTTAATTGGAATGAGTGAATTTGGGTTAGGTCCCAACAACCTAAGATCCATTCCAAAATACTGTTTGATTTGAATTGCGTTTGAATTTT